TGTCGACACAGGTCTGCTAGTTTAATAGCATCATTTGATGCAATTGATTACGATCAAATTACTGACAAATCAGAATTTTTATCAAAAGCATATTTCAATAATAAAGAAATGCCAGAATTCATTAAATCTAGTAATAACCAAACAAACAAAAAAAAAAAGTAATCAGAATTGTATTGACAGTTATAACTTTGATAATTATAATATTGCAATAGCCTTTTTAAAAATGTTAGGCTTAGAAGAGGAATTATATGTAAAGAAATATCTACTGACGAAGAAGAATCAATTGATCCTAATGAGCCTCGATACTGTTTATGTAATCAAGTAGCCTATGGTACAATGGTAGCTTGTGATAATAAAAAAGTAGGMATAATTTTAAAAACATTATTCAAATAAATTTAATTTATAACCAGTGATAAACCAATTTTAAATATGTTTCATATTTTAAATGATTCCTACCTTTTTTTCTAGTGCCCAATTGAATGGTTTCATTATGAATGTGTTGGTATTACAAGATCACCACATGGAAAGTGGTATTGCCCTAAGTGTGTCATTAAACTCAAGAAAAAAAGATGAATATTGTGCACAATCATATAATTGGTATATTATGTTCTACGACAAGTTCATTGCCGTACTAATTAATTAACATATTATGTTTGTTTATATTAATATTTTTTAATGTAATTATTGTTCCCATTCTTGATTGTAGAGATATTTGACTAAAAGCAAAATATACATTTCTGAAATTGAATTTGGTTGTTCATAATTTTTACAACTTTTTACAAAAAATTGACCATGTAATATTATTTAATTAAGAGTTAATTTATAATTTAAGAATAGTTATTTTAGTCCAAGAAGTATTTAATATACCTACCGCACAGTCAAGATCAATCAACTTTGTTGAAGGTGACCAAAAAACACAAAATCATAACACAGAACATGGGTTAGAATGAAAATTAAATTTATCCTTGATTAATGGTCATCAATCTAGTTGCCATACGAATAAATAAATAAATCAATTTAGTAACAAATCACTAAGGGCTATTCTTACAATGTCCGGTTAAGTGTTTATTAACTTTAACCAAACATTCTAGGAACTGCCCTAAATAAACAATGTTTTTAGTCAATTAGGGTGTTTATATTAATAGTACATAATATAATATATATAAGTAAGTCATATTTTATAGGTTATAACTTTATAAATAATTTAGATTTTGTGCGATGAATATATGGATTTTACAATGAAGATGTGTAATTATTTTTTTTTTTTT